TTCTGTTTGCATTGAAATGGTTTTATTTTCACCAACCCCATAAAGGTTGACCCAGTTAAGAGAATCAGAACTTGTAGGAGCACAAATGACAGCAGAAGCCAAAGCCTGAGCACATGTTGGTCATGGGCAAAAACAGGGAAGAGATGGGTCAGATGGGGAAGTGGAAAGTGACCAAAAGAAAAAAGTTGTTTTCTTTCTTCCAGAAAGACAACCAGCTCTTTAGCCTCGGATTATAAAAGCATCTCACTGCTTAATATGGATCCCCAGGCAGTTTCTTTGGCATGAGTTTTCTTTGTTTGCTTTTAGTTTGTGTGAGACTTTAGAAACCTTGAAGAACATTGGAATCATTGTTGGAAAATTGGGAGGGCATTCTTTGTGACCCAGAAACTTCTACTATATATAGGTAGTGTATATGAAAGTTAATTTAAAATTTGAAAAATCATACTCTAGGATCCTGAACAGTCAGGATAAGGGTTTTGTCCAATCTCTGGTACTATGAGGAGCACTATTGGACCAGATTACACAGTGATAATTAGCCTCTTCCCCATGTTGGAACCCAGAGATGAGCAAAAGTCCTGTATTGGCCAGTGCATCCTTCAGTCCAGAGGAACAGCTTGGGATCCTGGAGCTCTGGTGCTTACTTGAGTTTGCAGTTCAGGGGATAATGAGGAGGGCTCTTTCACTTCTGCTGGCACCAGCTTGTCATGAAGTAACCAACCATGAGTTCACTGCTCAGGGTGCAAGTGAGTCTGCCAGATGTTCTGGGAGATAGAAAGAGGAAAGGCAGCTGAGTCAGGATCAGATGGTGATAACACTGGTTGATGGTTACCTTGATGAAGTCCTGCTTCCCTGAATGTTGAAGTATAATACCACAGAAGCTCACTGAGGCAAACATGGAGTAGAAAGTAAGCTTTATTTAAAGGATAGTAAGTAGAACCCAAAAGGTGGAGTCTGTGGGATGAGAAAGTCACATCACTTTTATACATCTAGGTTCTCTTTGTTCTTTTGCATTCTTCTTCCTTGTTCATTTCCCCTCATTTTGTATATGTGATTGGGATCGGCGGTGGGGGGTGGGGGAATAGGAAACAGGTGGGCTGGAGGGGCCAGAGTGGAATGATGGGGAGGAAAGGGGGCCTAGGGCGAATTAATTAGCAGTTCCCTCTCTGCTCAGGAGTTGTTTTATTAAAATTCTTTAGGAGGCTCAGTGTAGGCTGGCTCTGGGAACATTATCATTTCTGTCTCCCATAGCTCAGTCTTCAACCTTCCAGACCCAAAACTGATTTCTTTAATCTGGCCTAATTTATCTATCTACACTGACTGCCTATTTTAAATCTGGCTTCAGTGGGAGAAGGAACCTGCAGACAAAGATACCAGAGGTAAGTGAGTATGAACCAGAATGAAATTTCTTATGATTCTGAACCAGAAAAGACAGAATCAGGCAGCAGGCTACCCCATTTTTTTGAGGCTTTTTCTTACCTGTATAGTGAGAAAGGAGCAGGAAGAGGAGAAGGGTCCATCCAGGCTATGGTGGACACAGTGGGGCTGGGCTGCTCCTGACTTCCCTTTTTATTTCCTACCCTCTGAATCTTGGTGCTGGAGCTCAGCTCACACTAGACTGAGATTAAGGTTTGCTTTATTCCTTGGAGGAACCCTGAGAAAAATCACAGACAATGGTCCCAGCTCAGGCCAGAAGGAACAGAGCTAATTAGTTCCCATCAGTGAGCAAAGGGCCTAGCCTCCAGGCCAGGACTTCTTTGAATTTTTCTTACTGAGCATCTTGTGCAAGTACCACCAGGCAGTCCTACAGGTCCCCTCTTGGAAGAATGGTACACAGCTCTCATGGTCCAGAGACCTCAGAGTCCAGCTATTTTCTGCCACTGACCAAGTCACTGTCTCTATTAGTGCATGAATGATCCAATTCTCAGATTCTGGGATTCTATGATATTGTGTATGTTAATTATGTAGCTTTTTAGTGCCACAAAGAATCCTGGTCTATGGGCAGTACAAACATGTCAGAACCTTCATAGTACATTCTAAAAAAAACTAATGACCCACATATACCATTAGGTCCACAGTCACAAGGAGACAATTCAGTAGGTTCAAAGGGTGTAAAGGGGGTGTTTGTAAGAATCGCATGGAACAGTAAATTTTCAGGAATTTGCTTGTTAGTCTGTTCCAAAGAGATTAATTCAGGAAGCATTTCAAAATACTTTTAGAATTTTGATATTGATTAGATGATTTGTAAAAGAATAATGGTATTGTAGACATCTTTATTTTATGAAGTCTACTTTATATTCCTAAGCTTATAGATTTCCACATACTTGTATCGTGTACTTTTTGTCAGGATGGTGCCTTCATTGACTTATAATTTGTTTATATTATAAGTATAATATTTGTTACCTGTGAGCCTGAGGTACAGGATACCAGGCAGCATTAGGCAACTGACCCCAGGGCTGATAATCCCAAGAGTCCTCAGGAACATAGCCAAACTGTCCTCTGGTATCTATTCCAAAATATACTATTATGTAATGTGGTAACCACTGAAGTTTAATATCCTTTTGGATGTAACATTTAACAATTAATGAATATAAACCAAATCCCATAGTTTAAATTTTTTTTAATATTGTATAGATGAATACCAATACCATTTAGCAGTTGAAATGGGGGAAAATTTGTACTTTTTAATTTAGTGCTTGATAAATTCTCAAATTAAATAAATCCCAAACACATAGAATCCCAGGACTCACTTAGATACCCTGAGACCTGTCTTGGGATCACTAGTCACTATACAAGGGACATATGTTATCTGTGTGTCTGAAATTATCCTCACCTGTAGAAATCCTCTACATAACCCCACATTATAAGGCAGTGTCAGAGGTCACATACTCCAGGGCAAGTATACTGTATCATAGACTTTATCATAGTCATGTGGAAAGCATTTTGAAGCCCTGATGCTTTTAAGTCATTTCATAGATTGTCAGAGTTGGGACGCACCTTTGGGGTCAACCAGTCAAACTCTTAGTGCTGGGTCATTCCTCAGTACCAGTCCAAAAGTTGATAACAGGTAGTGGGAGCCTTTGAGAATATTTGATGCCAGTATAATTATAAACCCTAGAAGTGCTGAAATCCTATGAGCTCCATAACCTGTGGACAGTGCCAGGTTATCCTGGAGTATCAATCTTTTTGCAACTCTCATACAGAGCTGAGTTATAGAGATTCAGCGCTCCATTGGGCCAGATATCCATTATGCCTTATCCCACTGTTGGGTTGGCTGGTATGAAAATACACAGCCTCTTCACACAATGCATACAAACACATGGGATAGATAAGGAAGACTAGAAGGTACAATACATGATTTGTAGTGGTTATTTTTTAAAAGTAATAATGTCAGTACTTTCCACTCATGAATAATTTATTATTTTTACAACAAGGGATCAGTAATGAAATACATTTTTATCTTGTGGCTGATATTAAATCCATTCCCCTAATAAAATGTGTATATCATCTAGAGGAAAATTCTATATAATGAATTACAAATGCAGAATCAGCAAGTGGATCTATGGAGGTTGAAATAGGCTTGGTAGATGTTAAAAAAAGTAGTGGCAAAAAATGACAAATCATGGCATTTGCAGGGAAATGGATGGCACTAGAGCAGATTATGCTAAGTGAAGCTAGCCAATCCCTAAAAAACAAATGCCAAATGTCTTCTTTGATATAAGAGCAACTAAGAACAGAGTAGTGGGGAAAAGCATGAGAAGAAGATTAACATTGAACAGGGACGAGAGGTGGGAGGGAAAGGGAGAGAGAAGGGAAATTGCATGGAAATGGAAGGAAACCCTCATCGTTATACAAAATTACATATAAGAGGAAGTGAGGGGAAAGGGAAAAAAAAAAAAAAAAACAAGGGAGAGAAATGAATTACAGTAGATGGGGTAGAGAGAGAAGATGGGAGGGGAAGGGAGCGGAGGGGGAATAGTGGAGGATAGGAAAGGCAGCAGAATATAACAGACACTAGTATGGCAGTATGTAAAAACGTGGATGTATAACCGATGTGATTCTGCAATCTGTATACGGGGTAAAAATGGGAGTTCATAACCCACTTGAATCAAATGTATGAAATATGATATGTCAAGAGCTATGTTTTGAACAACTAATAATAATAAAAAAATAACCTAGATGCCCTTCAGTAGATGAATGGATAAAGAAAATGTGATATATATACACATGGAATATTACTGAGGAATAAAAGAGAATAAAATCATGGCATTTGCAGGTAAATGGATGGAGTTGGAGAATATAATGCTAAGTGAAGTTAGCCAATCCCCCAAAACCAAATGCCAAATGTTTTCTCTGATAATAAGGAGGCTGATTCATAGTAGAGTTGGGAAGGGGAGCATGGGAAGATTAGACAAACTCTAGATAGGGTAAAGGGGAGGGAGGAGAGGGGAAGGGGCAAGGGGGTAAAAAAGATGGTGGAATGAGATGGACATCATTACCCTAAACACTTGTATAAAAACAGGAATGGTGTGAACATACTTTGTATACAACCAGAGATATGAAAAAATGTGCTTTATATGTGTAATATGAATTATAATACATTCTGCTGTCATTTAACAAATTAGAATAAAAAATAAAAATAAATAAATAAAAATAAAAAAGTAGTGGCAATTCTACATATAAATGGTCTGAAGAAGTGATGGGACTCTGTCATTTAATCATAAGATTTTAGTTTATATCCAGTTAGAGATGAATTATTTCATGTTGCTTTAGGCAATTACCTGAAAAGCCAAAGACTGTTTTGTCATTTCCCTCCTGCTATTCTCTTTGCCTTTCTTTTTCCATTAAGGAGAATGGTCCAGCAGCAGCTCAGTCCATACTTATTGATCACCAACATCATTTAGTCTAGTCCTTTGTCCGTATCAAGCAAAGTTCCTGGAGTAGTTAATGAGCAGCACCACAGATGAGCTTACAATTATTCTGTGTTCTTCTAATTTTCCCAGATGAAGAGGAACTTCTTAAGGAGGAGGCAAAGATCTGGCCCAGTAAGGTAAAATCACCTTTCTTTGTCTAAAATAGAAATGTTGCTTTTGTGAATTCTTTTCCCAGTTGATATCAAATATGAAAAATAAAATGAATCATGTACATTATAGGTTTTAGAGTGTTTACTTAGTAGAAGGAGATAGAGTCTTACCAATTGAATTCCTTATTCAAAAAGGCATAGAAAATTGGCAGTGTCAGGTTGTACATTGTATATTAGGGGGACTATCTTCTGAAGTAAAATTTCCTCTTTAGATTAAGAGTTTTAAATTTTTTCACTCAGAAGTTGACTCGACAGATATATCATCCACGAAGAGCTTTATGTTTTCTATAGGTGCCTGTTATGGTTTGAATCTGGAATATCCCCTGAAAGCTCATGTGTTGAAAACATGATCCCCAATGCCTGAATGTCCAGGGGTGGGGCTTTTGGTAAGTGATTGGATCATAAGGGATATAACCTCATCAGCGGATTAATCCGTTTGATAAAGTTCCTCTACCTTAAAAATTCTAGTTCTGCCTTACCTCTGGGTGCAACCAGTATGATTCATCTGAAGGTACTATAGAAATTCAATAATTAGTTTGAGTCAAGAATAATAATTGTAGGTTATTCAGTAAAAGAAAACTATGAAGAGGTTTAGCAGTTTTTTTTTAATGTGAAATTTTTAATTTACCTAGTCAATTGATAGTGCTACAACCACAGAATTTTAGAAAGTGCATTAAAAATCAAGTGTGTTTCATTTAATGGTAGACGACATTTCCAACTAGTATTCTAAAATTACCTGATTTCTGAACATTAGTGCTTTAGATCTTTTCTCTGAAACTATGATGCCAGATTATTGCCATTAAGTTAGTAAATTTTTTAATCTAGAAGAGGTTTCAATTGATATAAAAATTGGATCAATAATACACCTCGTTCCCATGTTCCTTCCTTACACCATGGTCACAAGGTTACCTCCTTTACTAGCATCTTTCATTAATTAGGTACACTTGCTAAATTTTTTTCTGGTACTGGGGATTAAACTGAGGGCTTCATACGTGCTAGACAAGAGCTCTACCATTAAGCTGTATCTTCAGTCCTTTTTATTTTTTTTTATTTTGAGAGAGCATCTTGTAAAGTTACCCAGGCTGAACTTGAACTTGTACCCTTTTGCCACAGCCTGCCAATTCACTGGGATTACAGGCTTGCACCACCATGCCTGGCCTTTTGCTGTAATTAGTGAACACAAATTGATATATTATTTTTATCTTAAATCCATAGTTACATTAAGTTTCCCATCTGTATGTATATATTTCTGATTTTCAAAATATTCATATTGTCATGTTCACTAAAAATTTCTCATTCTTTACTAATTAATTGCTTTCTCTTTGCCTAAAAGCCGTACCTACAGTTTTGTCTTTTCCAGAATGTCATCTAATTGGAATCATAGATCATGTAGCTTTTTCACATTAACTTGTTTCACTAATCAGTATTTATTTAAGGTTTCTTTGTGTCTTTGTCATCACATGAGAACTCACTTTTTTAAATATTCTGAACTAAAAGATGCCTATCCATTCATCTCTTGAGGGGCATCATGTTTGCTTCCAGTTTGGGTGACTAGGTAAGGCTGCTGTGCCTATTCTTGAAAAAATTTTTGTGTGGATATAATTTTTCATCTCAATTGGATAAATGCTTAACAGCATAGATATTGCATGATATGGTTAACAGATATTTTGATTAATAAGAATTTGGAAGGTTTCACCAATGAAACCATATGGCCTTGGAATGTTATTAATATTGATTCAGTTTATTTAATAAATATAGGTAATTCAGATTATTTCCTCTGTGAGCTTTAGAATATTAAGCCCTTTAAGGAATTACACATTTCATCTGTTTATCAAACTGTGGAATAAAGTAGTTTGTATTATGTCTTTTCTTAAACTTATTAAAGGCTAGGTGACATATAACCTAAGTATGGGCATGGATTGGCCATGTAAGAGCTGGAACAATAATTTCAAGGATTAGTAGCATAGAGGAAAAGAATCATATCCTTTTTTATGCTTTCGATATCCATGGGGTCAGTAATTCTGGCCTCTCTTTCATTTATTTGAGTAATTTAAATTTGTTCTCTCCTTTTTAGCTTGGAAAGCCTGGGTAAAGTTTCTCAATTGTATTGATCCTCTCAAAGAATCAGATTTTAGTTTCATTGCTTTTCTAATAATTTTTTTAATTTCATAGTCTTTTAAAAATTGTATTTCATTTTTATTGATTTATTTTAATTGGCGCATTATACTTACACATAAAAGTGGAAATCGTTGTGATATATTCATACATGCACATGCCGTAGTTTGGTTAATTTTATCAGTATTACTTCCCTTTCCTGTCCCCCGCTCATTCCCTTTTCACTACTCCATTGTTCTTTCTCTTATTTATGAGATCCCAACTTATTTTAATTCCTTATTTCTCTCTAGCTTCCATATATAAGAGAAAACATGCAACCCTTAACTTTCTGAGTATGGTTTATTTCACTCAGCAAGATGTTCTCCAGCTCTATTCATTTACCAGCAAATGACATGATTTTATTTTTCTTTATGACCACAATAAAACTCCATTGTGTATATTACCACATTTTCTTTATCCAATTATCTATTGGGGGACAACTAGGATGATTTTATATCTTGGCTGTTGTGAATTGTGCTTATATAAACATTGACATGCATGTATAATTATAATGTGATGATTTTGTATTTTTAGATAAATACCAAAGAGTTTAAGATAGTTTGGTCATATTGTTGATTCATTAGTAGTCTTTTGAGGAATATCCATTTCGATTTCCAAAGTGATTGTACTAATGTGCAGCCACGCCAACATTGTGTAAGTATACTTTTTTCTTCACATCCTCACCAGGATTTATTATTACTTATATTTTTGATGATTTCCATTTTAACTGAAGTGAGAGGAAATCTCTAGTTTTGAGTTGCATTTCCCTGACTGATTAGGATTTTGAACATTTTTTTAGTATATTTTTTTGGCTGCTTGAATTTCTTCTTTTGAAAAACGTCTGTTTAGTTCTTTTTTCCATTTATTGCTTGGGTTTTTTATTTTTATTTAATTCAATTTATTTATTTATTTTGTGTTAAACTTTTTGAGTTCTTTATATATTCTGGTTTTCAATCTACTGTTGGAAAAATAGCTGGCAAAGCCTGTGGCTGTGGCTCAGTGTTGGAGCACTTGCCTGGCATGTGTGAAACACTGTTTGATCCTCAGCACTGCATAAGAACAGCAACAACAAAAAAGTAGCTGGCAAGATTTTCTCCCATTCTGTGGGTGGTCTCTACATGCTCTTGTTTCCTTTGCTGTGCAGAAGCCTTTTAATTCGAAAGAATCCCTTATTAAGGGAGTCATTGCCTGTATATTGGAGGATTGACCCTATCTTCTAGCAGTTGCAGTGTTTCTGATCTAATGTCTAGGTTTTTGTTCCACTTTGAGTTGATTTTTGTTCAGGGTAAGAGTAGGGATCTAGTTTCATTTTTCTGCACATGGATATTCAGTTGTCTCAGCATCATTTGTTAAAAATTCTATCTTTCTTCCAACTCATGTTCTTGGCACTTTTGTCAAGGATCAGCTAACTGTGTCCGTATGTTTGTCTCTGAGTTTTCTGTTCTGTTCTACTGGTCTTCACATCTGTTTTTATGTCAATACCATGCTAGTTTTGTAACTATAGCTCTATAGTATAATTTGACATTTGGTCTTGTAATGCTTCCTGCATCTTTCTTTCTTTTCTTTTCAGTACCAGGGATTGAACTCAGGGGCACTCGACCACTGAACCACATCCCCAGCCCTATTTTGTATTTTCATTTAAAGACAGGGTCTCACTGAGCTGCTTAGTACCTTGCTTTTGTTGAAACTAGCTTTGAACTCATGATCCTCTTGCCTCAGCCTAAAAGCCACTGGGATTACAAGCATGCACCACTGCACCCGGTTCCTGTATCATTTATTTTTTTAGTTGTAGGCGAATACAATACCTTTATTTTATTTATTTATTTATTTATGTTTATGTTGTGCTGAGAATCAAACCTAGTACCTCACACATGCTAATGAGTGCTTTACCACTGAGCCACAACCCCAACCCTCATGTTTCATATGGCTCAATATTATTTTTGGTATTCTGGGTCTTTTCTTCCACAGGAATTTTAGGGCTGATTTTTGTTTGTTTGTTTGTTTAGTTCTGTGAAGAATGTCATTGGAATTTTTAAAATATCTTTATTTTATTTATTTATTTTTATGTGGTGTTGAGGATCAACCCAGTTCTTTACACATACTAGGCTGAGCCACAACCCCAGCCTCTCTCATTGGAATGTTGATGGGGATTGCATTAAATCTGTATATTGATTTTGGTACTATGGCCATTTTGACAATATCAAGTCTACCTATTCAGGAACATGGGAAGTCTTTCCATCTTTTAAGGTTATCTTTAACTTCTTTTTTCAGTTGTCTATAATTTTCACTGTAGTGGTCTTTCACCTGAATTCCTTTGTTAGATTTATTCTTAAGGTGTTTTTTTTTTTAAGCTGCTGTAACTGGATGTTTTCCTGATTTGTTTCTCAGTAAATTCATTATTGGAATATAGGAAAGCTTTTTATTTTCCTTTATTGATCATGTATCCTGCTAGTTTGCTGAGTTTATCAGCTCTAGAAGATTTTGATGGAGAATTTTGGGTCTTCTAAGTATAGAATCATGTCAGCAAACAGATTATTTGATTTCTTCTTTTACTATTTTTATCCTTTTAATTTTTTTCTCTTGCCTGATTTCTCTGACTAGACTTTCAATGACTATATTGAATAGGAGTAGTGATAGTGGACAATCTTGTCTTATTCCTGATTTTAGAGAAATTCTTTCTTTCTTTTTTCTCCATTCAGTATGATATTGGCTGGAGTTTGTCACATATAGCCTTTATGACACTTTATGACAGGGTAAGCTTCTATCCCTGTTTTTTTTTTTTTTTTTTTTCTAGGGTTTTTTTCATTTTTTGT